AACTACAAGTCCCAGAGTGGTTTAACAGTCAATTCCTCTTCACTGAGAACTATGAACTATCATTTTGCCTGAGAGTGTGTTGCCTACTGCACTGAGCACAGAAGAAGTCCCTTCCCAGAGAGAGGATATCATCCAGCATAACATTTCTTGTTGGAAAAACAAAATATTAATATTAAATCAAATCAAATGCTGGGAATTGTAGCTTGGGGAGGGGAATAGGGGTCTTCCTACTGCTCTCAGCACCTTTATCAAACTACAGCTTGCAGAATTCTTTGAGAGAAGCCACAACTGTTTAAAGTGCTTTAAATGTATGGTCCGAATGTGGCCTTAGTCTCCTTTGGTGATCCAGGTGGACAAAGAGAGAGCCAATAGTTATGAAATGAAACCCCAGCATTCAGCTGAAGGTCCATGTATACAGCTGACTGGGAACAATGGCATCTGTATACACAGCCACGGATCATTACAGAAGGACGAGTCAATTAGCCTTTGGCGACACTACATCATGAGCCTGTGAAGTAATTTTTGAATACTTTAGGGGCTGTTGTCAAAAGGACAGTACAAGGAGGGCAATAATGGGGGGGGGGACCAACCACCGTATAAACACTCCAGTGTTCGGAACTCTATCTGATGGCTTAATGTCAAGTAAAAAGGGTTTCGTTTGTTTTTTTTACGAAAAGTATAACAATTAACCTTTACTTACTACACACCATGAAAAAGCAATAGAAGGTGGTCCAAGGCTACATGTCTCATTTGGCCTGTCCGCTGATGCCTATAGCAGGACGCATTATGTACAGAGTGCAGAGGGCAACCCTCCAGGCCTGTGGGATGCAAACATCTTGCTGAAAAGGTCTTGATCTTCCCCAAGTGTGACAAATAAGTTGTTTCAACTTAGTATGTGGTGCATCACAATTAGTCAGATAATAAGGCACCGCCTTTTAATCCCATGGCAGCCTTATTTTTACTTACTTATTGTATTGTCAAAGCAACCGTGTGGGAGGATTGATTTGGATTGGAGCGGCAGTACCGGGGAGGGAGTGTTTAATATTTCCCCCCACTTACCATTATTCCAGTTCAGAGCAAACCCACCCACTCAAAGCTGCTATTAGCCCCACTTGAGAAAGAAAGGTGCAAATACAAAAGGTACCTGTATTTCCTTCACAGAGAGGCTAATAGCAGTTTGGGGGTGATTGAGACTGGGGAAATGGCACAGAGGGAAAGGGTTACATTTTCCATGTTCCAGAACTGCTGCTTCCCCAGAAAAACTTTCAAGTTAAAAAATAATAATTAAACCCAACAGTAGGAGATCTGATAACATATATCCTATAGCTTATCTGTTTTGAACCCTAGTAAAGGTAAAGGGACCCCTGACCATTAGGTCCAGTCGTGGCCGGCTCTGGGGTTGTGGTGCTCATCTCGCTTTACTGGCCGAGGGAGCCGGTGTACAGCTTCTGGGTCATGTGGCCAGCATGACTAAGCTGCTTCTGGCGAACCAGAGCAGCACACGGAAACGCCGTTTAACTTCCCGCCGGAGCGGTACCTATTTATCTACTTACACTTTGACGTGCTTTCGAACTGCTAGGTTGGCAGGAGCAGGGACCGAGCAATGGGAGCTCACCCCGTCGTGGGGATTCAAACCGCCGACCTTCTGATCGGCAAGTCCTAGGCTCTGTGGTTTAATGCACAGCGCCACCCGCGTCCCCAGCACCACCTGCGTCCCCGTTTTGAACCCTAGTTAACACCAAAATAACATGTAGAATCTCTGGTATACATATGTATTCCTAGTAAAGGGACTGACACACTGGGGGTTGAATTCTCTCACAATAAGAGACCCTCAGTCTAAAGCACCTACATCCCAGGTGAACAGCTGTGTGACTACTAGGGATCGGCTCTCTCAGTTCCTCATTTTCTCCAATCTTAAATTCAGTTCTCCACATTTCTGCAGCAATTTGGGGGTTGTGGTTGTTGTTGCTTTAAAAAAAATCTTCACGAAACTTCATCAGTATGTTAGTGAGAATTTCTCCGAATTTTGGCATGCAGTTTTGGCTACACACTTTTGCAAGACCTTCCTCCTAAATAGTGCGTTTTTGTATTCTGTCCACCCTATTACTTTGTATATTGGCCAATCAGAAAAGGCTGTGTCATGAAGTATAGGACTGTGATGCACAGAAATAGAAAAAGAACATCACACTAAGCATGCTATGTTCTCAAGGTGCACGAAAATTTGGACGTGATTTGAAGAGTCTCTCCGCAAAGTTTCACAGTTTGCATTTCCCATGTGAGGAAAAGGAATCCTTGAACATTTACTATATAGAAGTAATTGCAGAAAATAACTGGTAACGGATTGGGAAGTATTGGTTCTGGTTGCTAGAATGGAGTAAAGTACACTTTGGATATTCCAAGGACTAAACACATGCAGGAAATAAAAGTCCATTAAATTGGAGGGAGAAATGGCAACACTTCAGGATTCATATCTATTGGCTGGTGTCCAAACAACTCACTCATCAATTGCAGCCCTCACTTCATTCACTGGTTAAAACCTCATTGGTTAAAAAGGTGGGAGCAGACAGCCAGGCTGGCTCATCTCACAGGAATCACGTTTTGCTTCCCTTTCATAGCAGGTAGAAACTTGCATTATTGTTTTTGAAATGAAAGCTGAGTGTCTGGGCATTAGTTGTGAAGTTTGATGGACCCCTTGGAAAAACTCAGTGTCCACCCCCCACCTACCCGCCAGGGCCTGCACCCCCCTGCTATAGGACAACAATCTAATAAAGGAGGTACTGAATCAGAATCTTGGGAATAAGCTCCAATATCTCAACTTCAGTGATGGCTCTCAGATATTTTGATATTGAATCTATACATCACGGGGCAGTGGAGACAACACACACATACCCTTCTGAAGTCCTGCTCTGATTAAGTTTTAGAAGTTGTAGAGTTGTTGGTGACCTCTAAGTTAATCAAGCCACTGTGACAGAGGGCACTGGACACTTGCTTCAAGTATAAGGTAAAGGTACTCCTGCCCGTACGGGCCAGTCTTGACAGACTCTAGGGTTGTGCGCCCATCTCACTCAAGAGGCCGGGGGCTAGCGCTGTCCGGAGACACTTCCGGGTCACGTGGCCAGCGTGACATCGCTGCTCTGGTGAGCCAGAGCCGCACACAGGAAACGCCGTTTACCTTCCTGCTAGTAAGCGGTCCCTATTTATCTACTTGCACCCGGGGGTGCTTTCGAACTGCTAGGTTGGCAGGCGCTGGGACCAAACAACGGGAGCGCACCCCGCCGCGGGGATTCGAACCGCTGACCTTTCGATCGGCAAGCCCTAGGCGCTGAGGCTTTTACCCACAGCGCCACCTGCGTCCCTTGCTTCAAGTATAAGGCATTTTAAAATACTTCAAGTACACCGTTGCAGGTGCTTTGCCCTCTTCCAGAAACTTTGGTCAAGAGAAAACCTATTTCAGTGAGAAACTTTAGCAGAAGGTAAACCAAAGACTGAAAGGAATACATGTTCTCAGGCATATAGACCCATATAAAGCTGTTAATAGAGAGGTGGCAACCAAGAGACTTTTCTGGGCTAGGCTGAGTCGGCTTTATTCAGCAACCAACAGGACTGTTTCAAGTTTATCCCTCTCTCCAGACATAAAAACCAACTACCTCATTTAGAACATATAAATTCCAGGTTGAACTGGGTGGGGGGACAATGCTTGAAGCCTCCAAGATAGTCTCATATGACTGCCCTATTTATTTTATTTTATTTTTGCCACATAGAGTTTAGTTCCTACTGCATAGATACTCCTTGTCCTGAAATACTCTTTGTGTGGTGGCCAGACGGACATTTCCCCCACCCAGAATTGTGTGATCTTGGTCTTTTTTAAAAAATGAATTAATAAATATCCCCAATTAAGCATATGTATGGATGTTGTTGATGGCATCCGTCTCTCTCAGGAGACAATGGAAGAGTGCACCATTGGGGGTAAAATCAAACCATTGGAGAATTACAGCACCTGCTGTGGCTGTAGAGACCGATATGGGAGGGTTGTTTTTTTGTAGGTGGGGCAGATGAAGGAGGCCAGTTTTGCTACGATGCACTATGGCATTTTATTTTCTCTACACACCTCCCAGCGGTCCTTCCTCCTCTGGTCACAGTTGTGAATACGCAACAGAATACGGCAGTCTCCAGGCACTGCCGTCATCTGCAAGGGATTCCCACATGGTTGGTTTGATGTTGCCAGCCTTCATGTCTTGTTTGCAGACATGCAGAGTTGGTTTGCCAATGGGCCTAGTGCCTGAAGCCAGCTCCCCGTATGGATGTACCAACACATTTTCCAATAGGTTTGTGCAGCGTGCAAAAAGCTGAAAGGGAGATGGAAGCCTGAGGCAACGTCTGGAAACATCTTAATTTCCAGGACCAAAGAATAACTGGATCGTAAGTGTCTGGAGTTTTAGCTTATGGATTATGCTCATTCATAATTGAACATAGTCCTACACATACAGCTACTCATACACATGTGAGCAATTAGCTGTGGAAATACTTCAGTCATGCAGTTATATTAGGCTACAGCTCTCAGCTGTTGTTCCTTCTAAATTAAAAATAAATAAATTTAAGCCATGACCCGATTGTGTGAACTCCAGAGTCCAAAACCAAACGGGAATTCAATTTAGAGCATCAGAATTCTTTTTAGGATATTGAACTAAATCTGCTCCTGGTGCTGCCTTCTTTTGGTTGGTGCCATATTTTGAGAAAGACATCATCTTCCAAGTGCTCTGTTCCAGTAATGCAGAGGACTACACTGGCAATACATCTGTTGTTGCAATAATATACTGGAGCAATCTATTATCAGATTGAGACATACAAGTGATATATTACTCGAGAGGTGGTACTATTCTGAAAGGAAAGTCACCATGAAAGTATTCAGCTATTGAGCAACAGCCAAGCATAGCATACTTGAAGCCACTTTATTCCGAAATCTCAATATTATAGTCTGCTTAGTACTGTAGCTCTAGACTTTAAAATCTTCAGTTCATATGTCTCTTTTAAACCTTTATAAACATACTAAGAGCAACTACCATTAACCTTAAGGTCACTGTAAAACTGACTGCATACCATTGCATTATTTCTACTTTATAGCAGGACAATTCTTACTTACTCGTAACCATTTGGAACCAAGTAACATTGACCCCTAGATGGTCGGAAGAGCACACTGTATCTCATTATAATAATCTCAGCTCCATTCTTTACTCAACATTAATTATTTTCCATTCTAAAACATTTTGTGCAGCATGACAGCAAAACTTTAGCCTGTCGTTATCTGCGGGTCACTTTACCCTAACCTCCTTATTCCCCATTTCGAAGCATTTATTTCTTACAGCTCAGAACAGAGTTGGTCTAGTTTACATTTCCCCCCTGTGAATGATGCAAATTAAATATTTCTAACACCTTCAAAGCATCTTCATGGCATAGGAAGATGCCATGAGCTTTTTTCCCCATCCATTTCATGCAAACACTGCAGATTAAATAGGCTTTCTTTATCAGGGTTCAAGCTGATGTCTCTCCTGTCCCAAGTAAATTTGGAACAAAATTTCACATAAAAACACATTTTTAGGGTCTTGCTTCAACGGGAGAAGTTTCAAGGGAAATTGGGTCAATTTGGATAAGCTACTGCAAGACAAGCGGGAAAAGCCATAGCTCAGTGGCAGAGCACAGGACCCAGGAGAGGGGGTGCAGTGGGTACATTGGGGGTCAAAAGGGGGGCACAGGGGACAGAAATTTCCTGGGACCTCAGAAAACATATGCATATATTGTGTGAATACTTGCATTTACACAAAATGCCATGACACTTCTTCCTCTGCCCACTTCCTCTTCTGCCAATGTGCCCCCACCTACTTCTCCCATGCAATCCAGAGATGCAGCAAAATTTAATGTAAGTGGGCAAGGTGAGAAAGCAAGCTCGCTTTGCCTCTCCTGCAGGTGATGTACTCCACCTTCTGAGGGGACTGCTGTCTGCCGGTGAAGGGTGTCGGTACTGACAGTGGCCCGCCTTCAAGCAGAGGAATCTGAACAAAAACAAGCAACACATTGGCGAATAATATACTGATAATATTTTTATAACACTATACTGTATCAAAATTCATAAACAGAAGAAATGTAATATGTGCATGGAGTCACAAACGAATAAGAATCAGATAAACGTTCCATAACCAGGAATGGTAGGCTTGGTAAGTCACTGTCAAGGATCACTGAAATAGAGGCAGAATGCTTTTCCACAGTCAATATCCTATCCAAAATATAGTTGGAAGTAAGTTGGAGCACGGTGGTTCTATGGGCACAACACTACAAACGTGAGATGCTGGGTGCTCCAAACGTCGCAATAGGGTGCTCCGAGCACAGCAGCAGACAGAACAGTTCTTCCAGGATAATGAACAAATTAATCGTCCCCAAAGGTACATCAAATGGCTGTGGATCAGCTATCACTCAAAAGTGTGGTAAGAGGAAGGCAAAGCAGAGGAAGTCAAAGCAGCTCATTGCCACCATTACCATCATGAACAGATGAAGAACTCACTATATCTGGAAAAATGATCTTTTCCAGACAACTGTCCTAAGAATCAGGAGATAGTTAATAACATGAAAAAGGTCATAGTCACAGAGAACGTTACCTAGCGTGGCGAACTAGAAATGTTCCTGAAGTCTGGGACAGGAGTTCACATCATCTTACAAGCATCCATCAAAACTGAAGCTGTGAAATGGTACTTGTTAAAGTGCATCACCAATGTTGCACTCTTCTTGGGAGAAAATGGTTTAGCAGTTAATGATTCATCCCATCGAATTGGTGATTCAAACAATGGAAACTTTTTAGGACTCATTGAACTGCTCTCCAGGTAGGATCCCCATCCTTCAGGAACATGTGCTAAGTGCAGAGGAGTCAATGAAAAGGCGTGAGCAGCCTCAAGTTTGTTATTTGTCCCCTGCCTCACAAAATGAATTTATTACAAAATGCTTGAATCTTGCGAAGCGACACTTTTTGCTTGAGAGGCAATCTGCAAAGGCTTTGCGGTAATAGTAGACTCTACACCAGATTCTTCCCATGTTGAACAAACAACATTTCTTTGGAGATGTACTTTTAAAAGAAATGCAGTATGAGATTCAAGAAAGATTTCTGAAGTTTGCAGATTGTAGCAACAAAAGAGGGAAAGAAATGGCTCAGATGATAACGAATGCATTGGAAGAACATGCTATTCCTCTCAGTGAATGTACAGCACAAGCCTACGATAATGGGACAAATGTGGCATGAAAATACAATGGCGCACAAACCAGGGGTGAACAAAGCATGAACGGTACCCGGGGCAGGGGGGCAGGGCAAACCGACCATACGGTGCATGCACGGTGCTGCTACGTATGGCGCATGCTCTGCTCGCTCCCTCTGCCTCATGCACCCAGCCTTTTGCCCCACTCCATCAGAAGAAGAAGAGTTTGGATTTGATATCCCGCTTTATCACTACCCGAAGGAGTCTCAAAGCGGCTAACATTCTCCTTTCCCTTCCTCCCCCACAACAAACACTCTGTGAGGTGAGTGGGGCTGAGAGACTTCAGAGAAGTGTGACTGGCCCAAGGTCACCCAGCAGCTGCATGTGGAGGAGCGGAGACGCAAACCCGGTTCACCAGATTACGAGTCTACTGCTCTTAACCACTACACCACACTGGCTCTCCAGAGTCAGGCGTCAGGTGTGCGAGAGAGGGAGAGCAGGGCAGGTCACTCTTTCTTACCCTCTCTCCGCCCACACGCGCCTCCCCCACCCACCCCACTCCGCCAGAGACAGCGGAGGTGACACTGAGGCGGTGGCGGTTAGAGCAAGAGCAGACGCGACCGGGGATGGTGTGCCTCAGGTAGGCGGTGGCCTTTGCCGCTGCTGCTGCCACTGCTGCCATGCCGGCTGCTGTTACTGCTCCTCCTGCCGCTCCTCCGTCCTTGCTGTGGGGGTGAAGAGGCTGCAGCGGAGGGTGTAGCCGTGAGCGGAGGATCCTTTGCATGTTGCTGTGGCAGCGTAATGGCACCCCCATGGGGTGCCCTCTTGTCACCCTGCCAGAGATGGTGCTGGGGGTGGTACGCTCCCTCCGCCACCCCCTTCCTACACCACTGGCACAAGCAGAAATACAATAAAAATACTCAAAAGCAATTTTTTTCACCTTGTGGTTGTCACACACTCAACTTATGTAGAAATGCTGCTGCTGAATGCATACCTGAAACAATAACCCTTTTTTTGGAACAATTAAAACTGTGTCCCACCTGTTCAGTTCCAGTCCTAAGTGGTAGGAAATACTACAAAAACTATATTGGTTGTTCTCTTCATAGTATGTCTGAAACAAGATGCTCAAATCCTGTTGAATGTTGAATTTTGCAGATCACTTGCCTGGTATTACATTAGCACTGGAAGACCTCCTAGAACTAAATTTGATGGCCAAAACAAGAAATGAAGTCCATGGAGTTTTATTATATGTGACATCTTTTGCCTGTGTGTTAGTGTCAGTCATGTGGTACAAAACATTAGCTGGCATAGATATTTGAAACAAGGTCTTTCAAGCTAGAGATGCCACACTGGATGTTGATGTAGCAGAGCTGACAAAACTTCAAAAGAAGCGGAAATGCATGTGGAATGAAGCCAGATTGGTTGCATCAGACCTAAATATAGAAATAAAACTCTGTCCTGTGTATGTAATTAAATTAGGTGCAAGAGGACAAGGTCACATGACAACAGCACACCTGATGCTAACTTGGAAGAAATGAATGACACAGATGATACTCCAGAAGAGACCCACTTCAGAAAGTGTGTGTTTTAGGTTTTGGTAGACAATGTTATAACAGGGTTAACTGTCCACTTCAATGCTGTTAAGCAATTTGCACAAAAAATGCTTTCTTGTGGAAATATCTCACCATGTCTGAAAGTGAAGTGGAGAGAAAACCTTTATCTTTATCATAGCAATATCCTGCTGATTTTAATTGGTGATGATTTTGGAAAAGAAATGCAACATTTAGCCTCAGTACACGGAGCAGATTTTGTAAATGTACAGTTTAAGCCATTAGGTCTGTTGAACTTGTTAAGAAAGTACAGACTTGGTGACCTGTTTCCAAATGTGTGTGCTAGCTTAAGAGTACTATTAACAATTCCAGCAACAGTAGCTTCTGGAGAGAGGTCACTCAGCAAACTTCAGCTAATTAATAATTATTTAAGGTCTACAATGTCTCAGAAACATCTTGTGAATTTGGCCAGGCTAAGTTTTGAATCAAACATTGCCATAACAATTAATTTTCATGCTGTGATTTGAAATTTTTCACAAAAGTCCAGAAAAGCTATTTTTAAAAAGCACATGGTACGTTTTTCTTCCTTTCTTTACTAACACTAATGTCTTCTGGTGATCTGATCTGCATTGCAATATAAAGGGATGTTTCAATGTGAGTTATTTTGCCTTATCTGTATTGTAGCATAATCAAAGATGTTCCAATCAAATGTGCTTTCTTATCTCTGATCCTCTTTTATTTTATTTATATTTATCATGGAGGAAGTATAAGAGCATAAGGCCTTACATGCAGAATAATAACAGAGTGCTCCACTCAGCCCATCTCTTGTCTTCCATACCCTTTTTGACCTTACAGTATAACCAATGGAAAAGGTAAGGGGACCAAAAGAGACATTTCTTGGTAAAATTCCTCTCGGAGGCCCTAGTAGAGCATGCAGAAGGTCCCAAGATCAATCCCTGATGTCTCCAGGTAGGGCTGGGAGAGACTGCCTGAAGCCCTGGAAAACCACTACCAGTCATTGTAGCTCAGCCAGGGAGAAACTGTGGCCTTCCAGAAGTTGTGAGACTCCAACTCCCAACAACCCTAGCCAGCATTAGCAATTGGCAGGGATTGTGGGAGTTATCATCCAACAGCATCTGAAGGGCCACCACTTGCAAGCAAAAGCCCCTCTTCAGACCTTCCCTGCTCAACATGGGAAGGACAGAGACTGAGTGGGCAGAGCCAATATGCACAACAACTGTGCCTCCTACACATGCTTGAATAGGGCTAGAGAAGACAATGGTTCTTATAAAGGACAATAAGAATGGAAGAAGTGCCCTGCTGGATGTGGTCCATCTAGGCCAGCATCCTGTTCTCAAGGTGGCCTATGGGAAGCCTGAAAGCACAAGTCTGAGCACAATAGCATGCTCCCCACTTGTGAATCCCAGCAACTGGCGCCTACAGTGGAGGCAGCACATTGTCTATCAATGGCTGCTTCCCACAATGGCTTTCCTATTTCTAATGGGGGGGGGTCATGATTGAGAAAGTGTTCCTTCAGAAACCTCTGGCCCAGGTCATCAAATAAGCTGAGGCCTACCTAACTTAAATGAAGCCAATGCCTGTGACAGTCAACTCTGATTAAGCAAATAAAGTACTGGCTCAATTCCCTTGGCAACGTACTATATTTTTACTCCAGAAGACCAAGGGGGCCCTATTTGTTTGATTTAGCCCTTTAGACGTTCTCTGTTTTTGAAGCAAAATGCTTCCTTTTGCATTGAATAAAATGGAGTACTCTTTGTTATGTATTTAGACTCAGTTAACAAATAAAAAATCCAGCCAGGAAACAGCAATTAATATCACCATATGCCAAAACTGTTTCGTTCTCCTAACCAAAGAAAACTTATTTTTATTCTATTCAGGGATTAATCTGAGCCAAGGCTCAGCAATGGAACCTCTTTTTAATGCCAGCACTTGGCCCTTGAACATCTGAAGCAAAAACAAACCACGGATGTGTAGAATGCTTTTCCTCATCACTGCGGGAGAGTAACCACAATAGCCTACATACCTAGAATTAGATATTTCCAGGCGGTCTCATCTCCCGGCATCTGTCCGCTTCAAAAATTAAAACACTGACTCTGTGTTTCCATCCCCCGCCTGCCCTTTAATTAATAGCACTCTCTACACGGGAACTAGAAAAAGAGTCAAATCCTTTCTGGAGGGTGACTGAGAAATTCAAGTTTTAGGAGAGAATTCTCCTCTTGAGAATTCCGTTGTGCGCACAGTGCAGGAAAATGTATGAGCTGCTTCATCTTGGCTGTGTTGCCAAGGACCGATTTGGGAGCCATGCATTTTTCCACACAGTTGAGACTCAGACTCAGCAGTTTAGCAAGATGCCTCTCTGGACTAAAGACATAAACCGATGCAAGGAGGCACCCTCTGCCCCCTCGGAACCAACCACAGACCATTCTAAACTTAATACACTGACTTGAAGAAGCATGCCAAGGAGAGAAATGGTGACACAGACACACGGCTGGGATTGTCAGAGGAATGCTGCCAACACCCCCTCAGCTGACCACTCTTAAAGGGAAAACACATGCGTCTTCCGTATGCCTGCCAGCACTCTGCTAACAGTCATTTATGGGCTTTGGCTCCTCCTGATCGGAGCAAAGTTAAAGAAATCTTACCTAACCAACAAGCTAAAAGGCGTACAGTATTTACAAGAGAAGAAGATTTTCTTTTCTCTGCAAACAGCTTTCGGAACTGAATTTACAACCTTCAAACCACTCTGTGAATTCAAGTAAATTCAGTTTCTGGAAAGTCCTATTATAGCAGAGCGAGGCAAAATGCAGTAACTATATGTTTTTGTTATAATACAGATACCTCTAAATTTAGTGTAAGAAAAGATGGTGCCCTACAACTAATAGTAGCACATTTCCCAAATTAATAGTTGAGTTTTGGTGACATAAGAACAGTAGTGCCTTTTCTTTTATTGCCTTACAATGCTTACTCGGAATGCCTGCTTACTTGGAAGTCAGTCCCACTGAATAAAGTGGGACTTACCTCTGAGTAAATATGCACAGGAGACTTAGAACTTTGAGTTGCTCCTCACACACAAGCACCACCCTGAAAATAGTAAAAAGTAATATGCCGGAGACATTTGTAATCCTTTCAGTCTTTCTTCCATAGCCCTGCCCTCTCCGTCAGAAAGGATATATGGAGAAAGTGGCAGTACATTGGGCGGGGGGGGCGGTAAGCTTCAGCCAGGCCGCTTAATTGGCTCCAGGTGTCCAATGAGCCAAACCAAACCAAACCAGGAGGTTTCAGCAGCAGCTGGGCAAGAATGTGCCACAAATAAAAACGGGCTGCGGTTGTGTAGTAAAAGGAAATGGATGTCTATGCCCAGTTTTTCCTAGGAGAAGAATAGGGTTGGAACAGCAATGCCACGAGTATTACTTTCTTGCCGACGAACAGAATGAGCTATAGCTCAGTAGGCACATAGTGACAGGGTTGTCAACTTTTCGACAGACCAGTGTAGCAGTTTGTTGTGCATACTTCAGCCGTTGGCAACCTTTAGGTTCACATGGTGAAATAAAGCTACAATTATACGGGAGGAGTAGGGAACAGACCGTGTTGCTTTTTCTGATCAGTTGGCAATCATAAAAACTTATTTCTTTATTTAAATATTTGCAAACTGCACTTTTGTAAAACTACAGCAAGGCAATGCACAACATACAAAAACATTATCACTGATTAGTTGCTTCAGTTCCTATTGCTGTTAATCAACTGTTCCCCTCTCTCCAGTTCTTCAGTGCACAGTGTTAAGGAGGGGCTTGTCTTTTTAAAAAGAGAATTACAATAAACACGTGGCAAGGCAATAACATATTTTGTGTTATCCAAATATCACTCAAAAATCATGTTACATAAAAATGAAATAAGAAAGCCTTGTCGATTTTACCTCTAATGTTTTGAAAGTACAAATGAAATGGACAAAGGCCTTAACCGCACAGAAGTTTAATGTAGATTTGAAACTGCATTTGATTTTTGGATGTTGCCCACATGATGTTTTCCCTATTCAACTGGTACGCTTTAGTATTTCAACAATATACTTGGATTTTCCCTATCTGGAAAAAATCTGAACAGGGGAAGTAAATCCCAAATAAAATCACTTGGTACCCAACTGCAGACACGCAGGACTGCATTGTCTAGATGGGTTCTGGTGATTTCTGTTTTGTTTCTGTCAGCTAAAAAAACCTTGCTGCTTTTCCCTTAAAAAAAAAAATTTGCAGCCTTCCAACCTGTTTCTGGCCCATTAGAGTGTTTTTTTAAACTAGCCTCCTGTGAGGAACTTGTCGTAGGCTTTTTGAAAGGCCATATAAATTACGTTGTTCAGTTCCCCTCTTGTTGACCACTTTGGTCATATTTTCCATTTGTAACAGAAGAATGAATTTCCCTTTACAGAACCTTTCCCAGTTTTCTGCCATCTCTTCCTAGACATGCCCAAACCTTATTTTCCACCCTCCCCTCAACTATCTACTGTGTGACATAAAATGCCATACACAAAGGTGTCGTTTTTGACTAGGAATAACTAGTTCCTGCTCTAGGGCTTATGTGAAAAGTGGTCAGGGTGGCTGAGGGTGGAGTGAGGGGCAAGGATAAGCAAGCTGGATTTTTAGCATCTCTGGTACCAACTGGTTAAATTTAAAGTAGACTCGAATCTTTGTTAGGCTTTCTCCACTCAAGCAATTACAGTCATAGAGAGAGCAGGTTCACACTTGCAGCCTTACCCCCCTCCCCCCACTGTTGCATCCTGATGCCCTCAGACAGAAGATCCCCATGCAATTTACAGTGCTGCATGAGCAGGATTCTAAACTATATGCATAAGCCTATAGGTATGCAGCAGGCTTGCTGCTTCAGTCCTTCCAATGTACAGTGGTACCTCAGGTTACATACGCTTCAGGTTACATACGCTTCAGGTTACAGGTTCCGCTAACCCAGAAATAGTGCTTCAGGTTAAGAACTTTGCTTCAGGATGAGAACAGAAATTGGGCTCTGGCAGTGTGGCAGCAGCGGGAGGCCCCATTAGCTAAAGTGGTGCTTCAGGTTAAGAACAGTTTCAGGTTAAGAACGGACCTCCGGAACGAATTAAGTACTTAACCCGAGGTACCACTGTATAGATGGTGACAGGGAAGTGAGCAAGGATTGACAGAAGGGGCAGGGCCAGGAAATGTGGGTAGCCATGCTTCTTCACCTCACACCAACATGTAACTCAGTATTTGGGGATTTTTGCTTTTTGTACAATCTTGTACAATGGGACTTTGGGACATTTTTCGTCATTGTACAGTCTTGTGTGATAAATAAGGATGGGGGAGAAATATCAGTTCACATTTAATGGGAAACCAGGTTAACATGCACTTTCTGAAACAATACACCAACCAAAAACAGCCATTCTTCTAAATTTACTCTTCTCTGAATTTTGTAATGTAGTTCTCTCATCAAGTAAGCCCTGCAATGTGTTACAAAAAATGCTTATACTAGGGTAAAGTGTGCGTATCACTGCATATTTTAGTGATCAGAAGTTAATGATGTAATTGGGGAAATATATTCCGGGAAACTGCTTTGCAAAAATGTGAATATCTGACAAATTGCATTAAAAAAGTAAGTGTGTGTGTGTGTGTGTGTGTGTGTGTGTGTGGAGAAATTCATGGATGAATTTTCATGAGGGCTTTGTTATTTCAAAAAAGTTGCAAACTGGTGTGAAAATATGGAGAACTGAACTTGAAGATGAGAAATTGAGAGAAACCAAAATTGACAGATTTCCCCATCCCTAGTGATAAATTAGACTAAAAGCAATATAAGCCCGAGATGCTATAACTATATTATAACTATTAAGATAAGGTAGATGAGCACTCTGTTTCTAGAGGAAAATGCTTCTAATTTCCGTTCATTTATCCTCAGGTTTCTGCAAGAGACCATGTGTGTCATAGTTCCTGTAAGTTAGCCTTTGGGTAGTTGAACCCGTCATAGGGTTGTCAGTAAAATCACAGGCTGTGACAACTGCTTTGGCCTTCGTAACACAGTACCATCCACCCATATTAGACTCTGAACCAGTGAATGTATCTGTATAGTCAGAGGAGCCTGTGCGGTGTCGTGGTCTGAATGTCAGCATAGGGCCGAGGAGACCCAAGTTCAAATGCCCACTTAACTGTTCAGTTCACTGAATGACCTTGTGCTAGTAACAGCCTGTGGTGGTCATTTATGCATTGCCAAGGAAAGATGAAGTGCATCGTTGAAAAAGAGAACAAAAGAGGGTGCAGATTTCCATAAAATTTACATGTGTTAATTTATGGTGTAGAGGTGCAAATTTAGACAGAATTACTCTAATTTTAATAGAAATACATCTCACCATCATGGATAAGACAGTGACCAGGTGATCCATGTGTGTGGACTGTTGAGCAACTTCATGGATGCTGCTCTCTCCCCCTTCCTCTGGTTCTTTAACTTTAAACTGGATGTGGACCAGACAGCCTTTTCTGAAAGAAGATTCATTTGAATAAAACGTCTTCACAATTTCTTCAAAGAGAGGAGAGCCCTCTGTAAAGGCAGCTTGTAGTTCCCCTTCATATCCCAAATATTATCTAAATACTACAGTTTATTTCTTTTCTAATATTTGCTAACAGACTTTGGTACCCCAGCTATAATAATATTTTACCTCATATTTACCTCATTTTACCTCTCAGCTTCTATAAGGGGCAGAGAAATGGTTTTTAAATAAATAAATAAATAAATAAATAAATAAAGGCATGGCTAAAATCTGGGTAAAACCTGGTCAACCTAGCAAAATGGCCACTCATCTGCTTATATTTGTCTTTTTAAGAAAATACATGTAGCAGGCTTCATCTGAAACAGCATGAGACAAAATGGGGAATGTGGCATTTAAGGTTAGAGTGGGCAGGTAAAAAAAAAAGAGAACAGTGTTCCTGCACCTTTGATAGTTGTGTATTAAGGGAAACTTAGCAGCTGTAGGTGCAGAAATTTCTTCTTCCTCGTGACTACTACAGATGCAGGAATCCTATCTTCTTCTTCTTCTTCACCTGCTCACCATACTTAAGGTTTTCTTGTCACCTGCACATTTTATAATACTTATATTAATAATTATTATTATTATTATTATAAGCTGAATCCAACACTACATGCAAGGAGTTACTATTGTGCAGCAGGTCTTCTCCTTCTTCTCTTCTCTGCGTGTGCCCTCAGATCTGCTCAGTAGGGTTGTCCAACCCCTTGCAGCAGATTTTGAGGATGCATAGGGAGCTACAGGAAAGAAGAGGGGATGTTCCATTCCACAAGCAGAAGTCTGCCACACTAGCGGAACAGCAGTGTTGGATCTGACCCTTTGTGAAAATCTGCTGTCTTGTTGCCTCTTTAGTAAATTAAGAAAGCCTTTAATTTATTAATCTAACCAATTAATTGATTAAACATCGCAGTCTTGCATCCTACGTACAGTATGAGCAAATTTTTAATACTGGCTTATTTTGCATTACAACTGTTTTGCAGGTTCAAGGGCCTTGAATTAATTCTCAGAGTCCTGAACAACTTAGGTCCAGGATACCTTAGGGACTGTCTAAATCCCAGCGCAATCTGAAGGAATGTTGCTGGTCACCCCCTGAATTGGTGAGGCTCATTGACATCAACATGAAACAGAGCCTTTAATGTGACCTGTGAGTCCTGTGGAATGAAATGCTAATTCAGAGATTTTCAGAGCAGTTCCGCAGGCTTTAAACACCCAGCTTATGCAGACAATTAAGAAAATATATTTCCATAATTGTTAAATGATTGTCTTCAGTTTAAACTTTGTATGTGTTTTTATTAGTTATAGATATCACTGTAAATTGCTTTGATATTATTTTTGATATAGCAGTATACAAACATTTTAATAAATAGATACTGTATCTGGCTTTTCTTTGGGCAGAATTTGCCAAGAGTTGCTTTGGTATAAAATTGTGTGTGAGAGACAGATACACACGTGTGTACACTAAAATAAATGAGTTCTGAGTCCATTGACCAACTGAGTCCATGAGTTATTGGGATAGTAACAAATAATGACAATACTACTACTACTACTACTACACATACAGAACAGTTAATAGAATGGTCCCTGTAGAAATCGGTTAATTTCTAGTTCCTTACCCTAGGAGCTAAGGTCACGTTTTGGACAGAGCTTTCAAATTCTTACAGCCCAAAAAGAGTTATGGAAACCTAGTTTTAAATACAGTCAGTGATTAATAATTACCTTTCATGGAAGTTCAGAAAGGTTGTACAAAATGGTGGTTTTATACTTTCTAGGCTTGTTTTAATTTTTTAAAAAACAAATCTCTATTTACTGTGGCAGAACACTTCACTCGGATATGCTGTGTACTGCACACCACTAATTCCCATCTTACTCTTCCATGGGTCTACAGTTTTTCAAGGAAGCTATGACATTGTCCTATGGTGTCTTTGACAGTTTCTACCACCAAAAGTCCTAAAGGAGGTTTCAAATGGTGGAAAGGAAACAAGTGGGCTGTAAACAAGTACCAACAGTGTCAGCATTAATTTATTACAGAAATCTGTGGGGAGTTGTAGGGAGAATAACATTACAGAAAGCAGAAGTCCTCCTGGTAAAAAAATTTCCTGAACCACACAGAGTTGGGTCCCCCCCCCCCCGCAGTCTTCCTCAGGATCTAGAAGTAATATACTGGTGACAACTTCATATCCCTGAGTGAATCCATACTCTTAGGTTGCCCTTGTTGGAGGGAAGGTGACAATATTTGCACCTAGTGGCAGAATGAACTCTGAAAACATGTAATTTGGTTAAACAAATTCAGTATGAGGTTGCTAATAATACAATGTGCAGGGCTGGTTTCATGCTTGATGGAGAAAGCACTCTTGGTGGGCTTCCTTGTACATCTGTGGGCCTCCCTAGTAGACTTTTTAGGCAGCAGTGCTGTGCCACCATTTTAGTTTCCTAGAATGACCCCAATGTGGCATCACTGTAGAAGATGAATATGAACATTGTGGGAGTCTCAGAGTCATGGGAGAGCATCATTTAAATTTCCACAATGCTCAAGAATGAGGCTACATTGGAGACACACACATGTAAATTTCTTCCTGTTTTTAATTTATTTTTGTTTTTAACTTGTTTTTAATTTTTTATGGTTTTATTTATTATTATTTTGTTTGGTTTTTTAAACAAACAAACAATATATTCTTGCCCAGAGGATCCTATTAATTACTAAAAGTCAGAAACAGCTGGGTAAGATGTCTCCCCTCTTCAGTTGACTAGGTTGCCTACGCATGAGTAGTTTTCAAGTGCTGGCTGAACTAGCTATATATAACATTGGTATATTAATTCTCAACCCCCTTACTAGTACACTGCAGGTGTTAAATTTCTACATGTGAAGGAGAAGGAATATGCAATCATTATTTTGTATTGACTTCAGCAGGGTTACGTACAGAACTTAAGGTAGTTCATGGCTTTAGGTCAGTGGCAGTCCTTGGCGTCTAATATTTCAGTGGTGCCTGTTAAGTTGTGGGCGAACATATCAGACGACACAGCGATTCTTCCAAAGCAGCTCTTTATTTGTAAGCTGGAACAGAACTGAACTGAGGAGCTCAGTCAGCCTGCTTATATAGAGCTCCACTAGAATGCAACAGTAACCATTTTCTGTAACTAGCCAATCACTGAACGTCACTTTCGATCCTTCATTTGCATACAAACTATCCAATCACTGAATGTCACTTTTAATCCTTCATTTGCATAACTATCTACAATATCCCCCTGCTGGCCCAGGGTGAGAACTTGAGTACATAACAGTGCCCTATGCAATTGCTAAAATCCAGTGTGCGTCCCCCTGCCTCTCACCTTCCACTGGATGTCATAGTTGTGGCACCCCCTGCAGCACCCCAGAAGCTTCATGCACTCCCCTAGATCCACCTTTGCTTTAGGTAAGCAACTCCAGTCCCATCCCCCATTCCCTTCTGCAATATACTGTATTTTTTGCTCTATAAGACTCACTTTTTCCCTCCTAAAAAGTAAGGGGAAATGTGTGTGCGTCTTATGGAGTGGATGCAGGCTGCGCAGCTATCCCAGAAGCCAGAACAGCAAGAGGGATTGCTGCTTTCATTGCACAGCAATCCCTCTTGCTGTTCTGGCTTCTGAGATTCAGAATATCTTTTTTCTTGTTTTCCTCCTCCAAAAACTAGGTGCGTCTTGTGGTCTGGTGCGTTTTATAGAGCGAAAAATACGGTAAATAATACTGGCTTACCTGGCAGGGTTGTCGTAAGGGCTACATCTAAATAATGTTCACAAAGCACTCTGAACACTTGAAAGTACTAGACAAGATAATGATAATGAAGGCAAATATTCATCAGGCTTCTTCTTTTTTTCATATCTCTAACCAGCATGGGATGACACAAGAATATCAACTGGGTCACCGATGTTCTAATTGCAGTTCCCTTGCTGTGTTGCACTTACTGATCAGAAGCCTTGGTATCCCATTATTTATGTAGTGGGGTATCAAGGTGGCATCTCCCAATGTGTTTCCCACTTCAGAGTATACTTTCCTGTCTGGTTTAAACTTGATCCATCACCCCTTGTGATAGCTGTCTCTAATTAAACGGACAATCAAGGAGATAGAAGCTTCTGTATTCAGAATGGCCAAAATATGGCATAGCTCTATACGCAGAACTAGTTCGCACATGACTTTCACATCCAAAGATAATCTTGTGCAGGGAAGTATACTGTTACTCTGTGAAATGTCATGCAAATGTTTCTTTTTGCTATGAATATACAGGTAAGAGCCTCTGAACCTGTGAAACTGAAGTGAAACAAATTGTTCTGTCCTTCACCTGTAGTGCTGCACAAGATCTTCTTTTCACAAAGATACTTTGCAAATATAATCTGAAAAATGGCTATTACAGGAAGGTAGCCTGCCTGCCTTGTATAGTGTGATGTGCATCATTATCACAATCTAGATTTGGATATTTCTAGGGCTCTGACAGTGCATGGTGTGTGAGTTACTAGAGATGGACTCAGTCACTCCTACCCCTTTTGTAAAGGAGCATCTTATGTGCAATGCCTGTTCCATGTTTTGGAAGCCTTTGTGCAAGATCCCCTCAGCAGCCAGCTTCCTGAGTGCACCCATTTCCCCCTCCTTACCACTGTTGCCGTTGTCCACTTGCTTGCCCTGCTCTCTCTGTGCCCAAGAAGCCATATCGGAACAACACATGTAAAACATAATGATAGCACTTTAAATGGCTTCCTCCTCACAGAGCTACAATTTCCACAAGTGGTTTAACAATCAATCCCTCTTCCCAGTGAACTCTGAAAATTGTCACTCTGTGAGGGGAACTCTCACAGCACCCCTAGCAAACTACAATTCCCAGCATTTTTTGAGGGAAATCATGACTGTTAAAGTGGTATAATTCTGCTTTAAATGTATGGTGCAGCTGAAAGGGTGGACAAGGTGTAGGGCAATTACAGATCATTATCACTTTTCTCTCACTGTTGTCATTACAAAGGCTAGATGGACATCTTTCAACCGCCTCCAGTTTTTGCCATCCTCCTTTCTTCAACATGTTGATTGACAATGCCCTGTCTGTTAGGACAGATACTATTAAAACAAGAGCTCTTAAGTGTTTATAAACACACAACCAGCAGAACAAGGTAGCAAAGGCCTTCTGTTAGCATGGACTGTCCCATGGCACAGGTATCCTCTATGAATGAGGTGGGGAACTAGCACTTCAGGGAGAGAGGTGTGCCATTCTTGGTCCTGATGTTTTACAAACAACATGAGGGAGCATTCGAAAATGAAGATTCCCCTGTTGTCTAGAATAACAGTCCACTGTCATTGTGTAGTATATTATAATGCTATCTTTTTAAGACCAGACATGCAGAGCCAGACTAGAGAATGACTTCCAAATTCCTCTGCCTCAGGGAGGACTCTTTTAGTTCTAAGGGGAGACTGTGAAGAGGCAGCCATTTTGTATTGCATCCTAAATAAATTATCACAGCCAACAGCAGCCTTCCAATGTCCGATGCCCGGCAGATAATTTGAACTACGATGCTCTTCAGCCCTACTTGAAGAAACTAGCAGTCAGAGAGGATGGGAGTTGTCATCCAAAACATCTGAAGGGCACAAAGACCGGGAAGGCTGGCCTAAAGTATCCTATCTCAGAGCCATCTTTGATGGTGTGCCCTCCATGCCACATGACACTCACTCTGCTGCATGTTTTAGGCCCTGCAAGCCAAGGCCTAAAAGCTAAAGGGCAGTTTCACACACTACAATTGAAAATACATTATTGAGACTGTCTCCTGCTCATTTAAAAATGATTTTATTATATTCCTCCAAGGGAATCAAGATGGCATTCATGCATGGATTTCCTTCCCCAGTCTTTTATTTTCACAACAAGAACAACAACTGCCCTGTGCAGAAAATAAGGCTGTAAACAAACGACCGGCCCAAGACCACCCAAATAACTTTGGCTGAGCTGAGAAACTGAGGGCCTAAAAAATATGAGGGCCAGTGTAGGGGTATATCCTTATTAGCTACCTGGGGCCTTGATCAACAATGCTGAATCTTACATTGGGCCTTCCTATGTGTGGATGTGCTTGACAGAAAATGGAAAGGACAGGGCAGTAATAAGTTCCTACATGCTGTGGAATTCAGAAAAATAATGTTTTTTAAAATGTGCACACATAAAAAAATCTAAAACTAGAGACAGCCAAGGGCATGTCAGACCCTCCAAGTGTCCCTATTTTTCAGGGAAATCCCTGCTTTAGAAAAGCTGTCCTGGTTTTTTATTTGATCCCGGAATATCCTGCTTTTCCTTAGGATGTCTCTATTTTCATTGGAGAAATGTTGGAGGGTATGGAGTTATCCAACCCACAAGCTGTCTAAAGCAATCCTGCATAGGGAAGGGTTTTTTAAATGTTTAATGTTCTATTATGTTTTAATATGTGTTGGAAGCCGCCCAGAGTGGCTGGGGCAACCTAGTAAGATGTGTGGGGTATAAATAGTGAAATGATCATTATGGAATGGGACGTCCCTGTTTTCATTAGAGAAATGCTGGAGGGTATGGCATGTGCACTGCTCTCGTGCTACCTCTGAATATTGGCAATAGAGACTACTGTGCAGATAAAAGTGCTCATAGTTAGGCTGAAACAAGAAGCTTGCATAGGCTTACAGGGAAGGGGAAGTAAAAGGTTCCTCTGAGTCCAAGTTCTCAGTTTAAAGGATGGGGGGTGTCTATGGGGGAAAAATGCACCTCCTCAATTGCACGTCCTTTGAGACCAGTTCTTCTACTCTGGAAGATCTACAGCCTCCAACAATTGCTCCACTCCCAGATCCTCCCAGGTTGAGCAGAGGAGCAGCAGCAGCTGCCAAGAGACCAGTCACAAGCATCTTCGCCAATCCACATATTTTTTTGAAAACTAAGCACCCCAATCCAGCTAAGGATATCCTCCCGAATAAGCAGACTTCTGTATGTACATCACTTGCTGCTGGATCAGAAACCATAAATATGCATGAGATGCAACTGAGTACAGATGCTTTATCCACATTGTACTGACTTTTAACATACAAATGCAACTAAACACAATTCACGGGGGATTGAGCGTGTGCATGCGGGTATGCATCTGATTTCTACCTGTCGTTCCTGATCCAATTTTGGAATTGCATTGATTTACACCTGTGGTTCCTGATTTATACCTGTGGTTCTAGCAAGTGACACGTGCAGCAGGAAAGCTTGTTTCTGCATGCAGATCTTTGCATAGAGGTAAGGAAGCCTGGGCAAGATGAGTGAGACAATAAAAGAATGAAAAGTTTCCTCTTCTCTATCCTCCCCTGTCCTGAATGTTTGAGTGTATTGGACACTTTTCTATATTAAGAAATGTGCATGTTTATAGTTGTTGTTTTTTAAGACTGCCAAAAGTGAAATTCTACTAAACAGAAAGTTTTTAACGTGTCCACTTTTGTAAAAGGAATCATCTATCATATATGCAGGAGCAGATGGCTGCCAAGAATGCACCAGTACAATCTTTTATTTCAGAAACAATTCCCATTGAACTATCAGCAAATCGTGTCTTCCCTTAAAGAGGGCACGTGTTGCGGTGAGACCTGGAAACCGATCCCCTGTGTTGTGGGTGGGTAAGATTGGTCAGCCACAACACCCGATTGGTAGGTCCCTTGATGCTGGGTTTAATCTGGCCAATAGGACGCAGTCCTAACAGATCGAGGGACCTATATATGCCCATGCACATGACCCAGAGCTTCCTCTTTCGGTGCGTGCATTTGGAACACCTGCCCACCTCTCCCTACCTTTAGGGCTTTTGCGTTTGACCTTGCTATGCCGTCGTCTGTCGTCTGTTGTTGGGACAGGGGCACGGCAGGAATTTCCCCCACTTGGCTGATTGGCTCTTGCCATTTGGGTTTCGCCTGCCGCGTAGCAAATTGTCACAACTTGTAAGGTTGTGGATAGGCTCTGGTTCAGGTGATAGGGATGGAAGAACGCTCTCGCCATCCCTATGTGAAGGGTATTCCGTTAAAGGAATCCAGCGTTTCGAATGGTTTGGTCAACCCCTGAGAGGGGGGTTATGCCCATGCCAGAGTCCAAGGGGACATCTGGGTGGCGGACATAGTCCGTTCCCAACTTTTTGCTTATCCAGGTGTTCACCCTTTGCTGACCTATGCTGGAACTCTGGGTCAGCGCTACCTGCATGGCAGGGAGCTAGTCAAACCAGAGCCTATGCAACCACACACTTTCTGTAATCAATAAAGTTGTGGCCTAAATTCTACCAAAAACCAAAACTAAATTTGAGCCAAGTGTGAATTTATTTACGGGGGAGGTTTCTGGGTCTGAACACGCAACAAAAAGTATTTGCCCAGAAGCAAGTCCCACTGATTTCAAAAAAAGTTTATTCTCAGCATGATGCAAGCATAGAAGTGCAATGTCAGTATAAAATAAAAACTGCACTTCTGTGCAACACTTTAGTTTATCTCTCTGCCTCATTCCGTTCTATCCTCATTTGTACATCCAATACTTTCTGCTAGGTTTTAGTACAGATTGGCCTCTGTGTGAGGTTGTTGAACCGAGATGTACTCTGAGGGCTTCACTACACAAATAACTAGTACAATGCATTTTTTTTCTAGAAGAAAAGTGGTATATAAACATTTAAATTACTCAAATGCTGTTGAAACCTATTTCTGAGGAATCCCTATAGGCCATGGGACTCAAAGTATATTTATTCACTGCTATTTAACTAGAAGTGGCTGAAGCAGAAGTGATAGTAAGCAGCCTAAGAGAATTCTGATGGCTATTTAGAGGGCTTAAGCATGTTGGGCTTGCTTGTGCTTAGGTACCAGAAGAGCTATGACACCACAAATCACACCACTATCTCCCCTACCAGTTCTATGATAACCTTAGTAGAGACGCCACATGGGGAAAGGGGTGGTGAAACTTGTTTCCTCAAAGGCATCCAGAAAACCTGGATAAATTCTGTTATCTTTATCCTTTCAGATAATCTTCCTCCATTGCAATCCCACCATGCAATGGTTGTAAAAAACTAAATAAATTTTGGGAGAGGGGAGACTGCCCGCTGGGGAGCGGGAGGGTTGGCTAGGCCCCCAACATTTAGAGGCCCTAGGTTTCAGCCTACTTAGCCTATACATAAATCTGGCACTGTAATCAGGTGCCTGTATATGTGGGGGGGGGAATGTTTGCAGGATTGTCTATATAGTGTGACTTGATGATAAATTACATGAAGTACTAGCTAAATGTCTATTTGTTATGATAGGTAGTATATGGATAAAGAAGCTGAATACTATAACAACTTGGGGGCAACAGACAGGGTCTTACAGATGGTGCAGAGACCACCTTATATTGTCCTGTAGGATTCCAGGCAGTGAAAGCTAAGCCCCCACAAGGTCTGTTGTTGTTATTTAGGGTCCTTAAACAAATGTGTACCATGTACAGTATTAACTTATATGGACCCATTCACTTATATGTGAGAGTGCAAAGGGGGGGATGATTAGGGATAACATTAGGATGGTTAAGACTGCCTCTGGTGATTCCAGCAATTGAGGACTGGACCATCTCCTATATTCATGCCCCTATCCTGTTTCTTTGTCACACTGGAGTTTCCATGGAATACTGAGCTTTTGCATCCTTGTGGGTGTATAAAACGTCTTTGTGTACATTATAAGTTTATGTTTCAGAAATATTTGCTTCTGTTACACTTGAAGAGCATACAAACTTCCAAGTACCTGTTCATGTTTAATTTAACTGAACTTGGGTCTCCTTCACAAAAAATGAACTTCCCACACAGATGGCATTTCTGCGTAGGAATAAAGAGCAGGTAATCTGCTTATGGAGGGTCATGTTTGATGATAGCACTCACATAGTAGAAACCAGATTTGGTTTGGGCCTCCCAGTGAATGTATACACTATGTACATTTGGTGCTAGACATGTGAAATAATCAATTTTTGACCTGTCTGAAGCAGTCCTTAATATGGACTGCTGGTGTGTATCTGTCAATCTCTTTAATGCATACTCTCATTGTTCTCCCTTTAAACTAAAACAAGTGTTTCATGGCCAGCAATAATAAATATAAAGTACTAAAATGAGTAATATTGCCAATAGCAAGCAAACAAAAAAGAGGAACACATAGCGTAATAATACATTGAAAATAGTTATTTTTCTTCTGAGTCATAATTCATGTTACATCTTCTACTAAGTTCAAAGATTTTGTTCTTTTCGCACAAAGCAAAAGCTCTGTGAAACAACTGTGCTTCAAATCATTTCACTCCAATTGTACTAACAGGTTTTAAGAGTTTAAATCGCGAGCCACCTCTGAGTGAACCTTTATCCAAATGACTGCAAGTCTCACACAAAAAGAGCACTTCTCTTTCACGGAGTACCTTTTGTGCTTTTGAGCCCCAGTCTCTTTTCTCTCTTTTTCTCCCCCCCCCCCTTCATGTTTATCTTTGAAGAAAGATGTGTGCTTTTGTGCAGTAATGAAAGCAGGTATCAGTTAATGACAACCGCAACCCTGGCTTCATAATGTATCTTGGAAATGCTTATAGATAAATCTTCCCATACCTGCATTTTTGTAGGAATAAAGTACAAATTCATAAGTCAGGATGACTGCGAGCCCTGTAGGGGCATCATGTAGCAGTTAAAACCAACTATTAGGGGTGACCTAGTCTTGCTTCCCCCCTTCCCCTTCCCATTCTCCAGATCAAGGAGTTATGATTTTCATGCTGATCCTCTCCCTCGCCCCTCAAACCCGGTTTTAAGCCGTCCTAAAGTGTTCCACATTTGGATAGCACACTGTCCATAATTCAAGTCAGCTACTCACCACTTGATTATCATTTTTTTAAAAAAATTCATTTCACCCTCTAGTTTAATCAACGGGGGGGGGGGGGCGCAGGGAAAAAAAAAGAAGAGTTCCTCTTTAAACTCCCAAATAATACACATTATTATTTTTTTAATGCCGTTACTAAGGTCATCTCAACCTACCCATAAAAAACCACTCTCAATCGCGCCAACTTGACCTTTAGTATTAATTTTAAGAACCCCCTGTTTTATTTTAACAATCAACGCGGCTAATGTGGAGAACTCCAAACTTCCCCTGCCCACCCCCTCCGTCTTGGAGAGGAAAATGGGGCTGCATCCTGCTGGGGCTGCCCCCTTTGCCTGCCTTTGTCCCCCCTTGAACCTCGCTACGAGGAGCGCTCGCGATTCGGTGTGTGCGTAAAGTACAGCCTAGGAGCCTGGGGGCACCTTCCTCTTTGCTCTGCCTTGTCTGCGTGTGTGTGTGTGTGTGTGCGTGTGTGTGTGTCTCGTCTCCTCTCTTTGCCTCTCTGCCTCTCTCTCCTTCTCCAGCCTGTGTGTGAGCTGTGAGCACTGCTGCCGCCGCCGCCGCTGCCCTTTGATCCCTGCATTAGTGTTAGTTAGGGGCTTGGAGACACACAGGGAGCAGCCATAGACACCGCCGCACCAGCCCTCATTATTGACACCGCATATGAGCACACACTCTCCCTCGCCCATTAGATCCATTTCTATTGAAGAATATTGCGACCGGGGACAAGCCAGGTGCACGACCGGGGGAGGGGAGGGGAGGGGGGGAGAGAAGAAGAGAGAGAGAGAAAAGGTGGGGGAGGAAGGGCAAGAAAAAGGGGAGAGAGGCGAGGCGGGGGGGCTCTTCTCCTTGGCTCCAGGAAAAGCAGCTTCTCAACCCCCCCACCCCCATTGCCCAGGAGAAGAAAACCAGCCCTTGCTGGGCAGCCACCCTTTGCCCCTGCTTTGTGCCTGCCTCTGCCCCACTTTTGGGCTTTTTAAAAAATATATATTTGATCCCCCATTAAACCAAGGAGGAGAATGTGAAAAGGGGGGAAAATGCCCAGGAGGAAGCAGGAGCAACCCAAGCGCCTCTCTTCACGTAAGTGCTCCTTTTTTTTCTCTCCCTCTCTCCCTCCCCCCCATTTCCCCCTTCTCTCCTTCTCTCCCTCGCCCCCTCTCTCTTTCTCTCTCCCCCCACCCCACCCCCCGGTCTCTGCCTGCCTCCTTTCCCCTCCGCAGCCTCCTCCGTTGTTTTGTGCATTAGTTTAGGGTTACAGAGGTGAAACTGACAAAGACACAGCCTGGGTTATTCCTCTTTTAGGTCTGAGCTAAGGCAGCCATGTTGGTGATGAACAGCCTTGTGCCCTTTTAATTTTTTTCCTCTTTCCCCCTCCATGTGTGCGCGCGTGTGTGTATGTGTGTGTGCGAGGGAGAGAGCGAGCCGGAGAGAGCGAGTGTGTGTGTGTCTCCCCTCCCCTCTCTTTCTTCGCTCTATTCGTCCTCTCTTCCCTCCCCTTTCTTGTGATTGTGCATTTGTGTGTGAATGGATTTCTCTCTTTATGGCTGGGGTGTGTGTATGTGTGTGTGTATGTGTTGGGGGGGGAAGGAAGAGGCTTCTTTTTATTATTATTACTGTTATTCTTATTGGGGTGGGGAGTTGCACAATTGGAAACGAAAGCGGTTCGCTGGCGCCTTGCGCGGAATCAATCGCGAGGTCCGTCTCCGGCTAAAGGTTGCGGCTGGGCTCGCCGGCCCCGGAGCCGGGGAGGAGGAGGCGAAGAGCGGCGGGGGAGGGCGAGGGAGGGAGCGGCGCGGGTGGCGGCGGCGGCGTTGGGGGGGGGGGACACACAGCGAGAGAGACACACACGAGAGAATCCGGGGCTGCTGCTTCGCTGCCGCCGAGGAGAAGCGAGCATGATATTGGGGGGTGGGGGACGGCACGGGAGGCAGATCGTGGCATGCGAGGTCCCTGCAGAGCGGCGGCGGCGGCAAGCGAGCTCGGGGCTTCTCCTCGCGGCTGCAATAAAATGCAGGGTCAGATGGAGCCTGGGCGAGTCGGAGGCTTCAGCGCCGCCGCTGCCCCAGACCAGAGCAGCAGAGCGCAGGAAGGACTCGGAAAAGTGCCCTCCTCCTCCTCCTCCCACAGCCTGCAGGCAATGCACACACCACACATTGACACAGCCGCTCACCCCGCGCTCTCCCTCCTTTCCCACCCCGCTTCTTCCTCTTCCACCTCCAACCCGCCGCTCTCCCCCGATTTTTCCTCCTCCTCCTCAATTCTTTGCAAAGCAGTTAACTTTTTCTTCTGGTTCCCTGTGGTAGCAAGAAGCGATCGGGCGCTCTTGGAAAGAGGAGGAAATAAAAGTGTTGTGTGTGGGGACACAAACATACAAATAATACGTCTTGTCTTAAAAAATAAAAGAGCCCTCGCGTTGGCTTGGTGTCTCTAAAGAAAGGAGGAAGGCGGCGGCGGAGGGGGCGGCGTGGGTGGATTTAGGGGTCATTTTCCTGCGCTCTGCCTCCGGCACTTCTGCTCGCCGCTTGCTTGCCCGGCCCCTCCCTGGCTCTGCCCCCGGGTTCAGTGTCGGCGGGGCTGAACTGCTTATGTGTCAAAGCCATGGTCGGTCACCTGAAGTTCACTGGGGAGGGAGGGAGAGGGAGAGAGGGCTAAGGTTGTCGCGGATGGCGTGTGTGCCTTGCGCGTGTTTTTGTGGGGGGGGGGTGGCTCCCCGCCGCCTTTCCTCTCGCCTCAGACAAAAGAGCGCGATCGATTACTTCCCTATCTCCACAGATACATAATTTTCCGATAGTTTATCAGGGGAAGGGTCTTGGAGAGAGGACTGACCTCCCCCTCCCACTTTTCTTCCCGCCCTCATCCTTTCTCTCTGCCTTCTTCCCTCCCCTCCCCTCCGAAGCACACACTAACAGCCTGCCACGCATGAACCGTAGCAGAGGTGGGGACACCAATGGCACCGGAGGGATCGCGCGCACCAACGTTGCTCCTTTCTCTTGCCGCGCAAAGCCGAGGGAGAAGGGCGCCCTGTTGGGCCCCTCCCGGCACTGTTCTAAGCTCACTCCCCCCGCATCACCTTCTAATCGCCCTCGCGTTAGTGGATTCGGTTTTGGAATATTGAGGTTTCCCTATCCTAAAAAGCTAGTTCAGAGAGGTTGCACAATTGAGTTTCCTGAATGTCTAAAAGGGCTACAATTGCGTCCACTGCTACTGCTTTTCTTTGGGTCACTTGCTTCAAAAAAAGGGGGGGAGCGGTGGGGTGGGGGCAAGGTCAGTAACCTTTCAGTTTTAAATTATGTATTTTCATATGTATAAATCTCGGAGGGCTTCTGATTGAAAGTTCGCCCAGCCCTAAAATACAATGAAGTGCAGTATAAGAGCAAATGGGCATTTTCAAAGCAGGCAGAGAGTTTTGTGGAGGCTTCTTTAAAAAAAAAACCAACGGAAGAGCCTGTTGTGTATGTGTGCATTGAAAGTCTGAACTGAGAGTTTTGGGAAGCGTGTTGTCTATGCGGTTGAAGACAGCTATGCAAGCAGCTGCAGACTGCCCCGCTAGTGACCTTGACCTAGACCTGGTGCTGCTGCCCTTTCTGTCTGTTTCTCTAGGGCAGAGATGAAATTCTGTCTCCATTTTAGCTCGCTAGGGAAGAATCTCCCTTGCTGCTTGTGTGGCTATACTTGGGTTGGCTTGGTGTGTCTCTCTTCCCCTCTCCCCTCCAAATGATTGCAAGTTTTATTACCCATTCGCTGTAGCTGTTTGTAGGGGAAGTTAGTGTTTATTATATTACAAGGTGCTGTGGCCTGTCAGGGAAGAGGGCTGTGAAAATTCCAGCTTTTAAAATGTGGTGCCCTATTTCTTAAGCATTGGTGCTTAGTTTTAAAGTATTTTTAGGATTTTCTGATGTGTATGACTTGGAGGGGAAGGGTGTGTGTGTACCACTACACCACTGTAAATGGACGGTGCTTTAGGCCTTGTGTGTACTTTTGATCAAAGAAAAGCAAACCTGCTATTAAAGCCTATGAGACGTTTGAATAAAAATACATGTATTTGACACCAAGCATTTGTGATGCTGTTTGTGTCCAGTGGAGACTACAAGGGTACAAGGCATTGTATCACCTCTAAGAGAACGTAATCCTTCTGTAGTTCAGTATGAAAAGTGCAGGGCATTATAGTGTTAGGATGATAAGGTGTCAACATTAATTCTGTCCCTCCTCCCTTCCATGCAGCTATACAGGAAAGTCCTTACATGTTCTCTTATTAATTCTTAATAACATGTTAATGGAGTATACAGCAGCACACACCACATCTTGTAGCACTGTCATACTAGAATTGGTTCACTGTGTAAGCAAGATCTTTTTTCTGAAGAGAGCCTTGTATATTTTGGCATTCTTTCATAACACGTAACAGCCTTGCTGTAAGAAAACGGGGTGCTAATGTAGTAGCTACGCATGTCATGAGCTTGTTATGAAGGCCACAATCCTAAACTTGCTTACCTAAAAGTAAGCCTCAGTAAACTTGGCAGGACTTGCTTCTGAGTAAATATGTCTGGGATTGGGCTGCACCTCCCAACTTTGCCCATGTGCTTCTATGTGATTACTTTTAAGTTCAACCCTGAGCACTTCGCTGTGATAATTACTGTATATGACTTTGCTCACAAGTAGTTTTATAACAGTCCCTCCTTTTCCACTGTTCCACTGTTTGGGCTTTTGTTAGCTTCTTAGTCACCTTATTCTTCTTGAGTGTTTTACCTCAGAAAAGTTGTGATACTTCAGAGCAATAAAAATAGTATTGTCTACCTTACTGATTGTGGTTGCCACCTGCAAATGACAAAAGTTAATTTCAGCAGGCCCATTTGCTTGTTGGGAACTTTGGGAAAAACAGGGATATAGAATCTGATTTTTAACTACATTCATTGAGAGAAAAGTTATATACAGGATAAACTTGACAATTATGATAGTTAAAATAATCTAATTATAGGAAAAGAGGAGACTGTAGTATGTAAAAAGGGACTTAATAACAAGAATATAATTACTGTAGAAATAACTTCAAGAATGTGGTAGAGGCGACAGGACCCAAAGACTCAGTTGGGTTTGTGTAAGCACTTTCCTATGTACATCAGGGCCATCCTGAGAACAGGTGAGGTGCAGTGGTTGGAGTGTTGAACTAGGATCATGGAGACGTAGGTTCAAATCCCCACACTGCCATGAGGTCCACTATCATACTGGTGCAAACAGTTGTGGCCTCCCCCAAAGAATCCTGGGAATTGTAGTTTGTTAAAGGTGCTGAGAGAAGACCCCTTTCCTCTCACAGCGCTACAATTCTCAGAGTGGTCTGACAGCCGATACCTCTACTGTGAGGGGAATAGGGGCCTCATAACAACTCTCAGCGCTCATAACAAACTACAGTACCCAGGATTCTTTGTGGGAAGCCACAACTGTTTAAAGTGGTGTGATAGTGCTTTAAATGCAGAGTGCAAATGGGGCCTGGTGGCCTCATCACTTCCTCCCTTTCACCTACCTCACAGAGTTATTGTGAAAGAAAAATAGGGCTGGTGGTAGAGAGCAATGCTCCTTATGGGAAAGGAAAGATATCAAGGCCAGAGAGCATCTTGGCTGTGAGTCCTGGAAGACCTGCTCCCTGCCTTGCTGTCCTTTCCTAGGGGGCCTGGGAGGGTGGGGCCCTGACTGACTCCAGCTATAAAAGCTGATGCTGTGGAACAGATTCTGGCTTGTTTTCAGCCAGAACTCACCACAGCTCAGTTCTGGCAACTCTCAGGTGGGCACCATTGTTGTGGTAAGAGAACAAGGAAGGCGTTTGTGGTGAGTTCTGGCGCCTCTTTTTCTAGAAAAATAGCACTGGGTTGAGGTATAGTTTTGAGGTTTTTGTTGATGTTGTTGATGTTCATTGTTTGCTCCTTTATTTTTAGATCTTCCAGTTCATGTGGAAATTGTTTCATTTGGCTGTGTATGTTTTGTTCATTGTTTGTGACTACTATTGTTATGTTTGTAATTATGTTTTACATGTTGTAAGCTGCCTGGAAAGGCATGGGCATGGCCAGGATTTATGTTAGGCAGGCAGGCTTTTG